CGGCAAATGGAGAGCCAGTTTTTCCAGCACCATTTATTAAAGAGACTATCGTTCTTCCAGTGAACCTGCTTGGCTCCTTTATCAAAGATAAGGTGGTTGAGTGTGTTTGTAGTTGTGGTTGTATCTTCTAATCTATTCCATTGATCTTCGGCTCTGTTTTGATTCCAATACCATGTTGATTTTACTACTGTTGCTTTGTAGTATAATTTCAAGTCAGGGATTGTGATGCCTCCTGCTTTGCCTTTGCTGCTTAGAATTGCCTTTGCGATTCTAGGTCTCTTCTGGTTCCAGATGAAATTTAGGAGTGATTTCTCTAGATCTATAAGGTATGTTGATGGTATTTCTATTGGGATTGCATTGAATCTGTATAAGAGTTTTGGGAGAATGGCCATCTTCACAATGTTTGTTCTTCCTATCCATGAGCAAGGGATGTCTTTCCATTTTCTGAGATCATCTTCAATTTCCTTTTTCAGTGTATTATAGTTTTCACTGTATAAGTCTTTCACTTCTTTCGTAAGAGTAATTCCTAAATATTTCATTTTTTTGCTTGCTAATGTGAATAGTCCAGTTTCTCTTATTTCCCTCTCTGTAATTTTGTTGTTCGTGTATAGGAATGCTATTGATTTCTGAGTATTGATTTTGTATCCAGCCACATTACTGAATTTATTTATTGTATCTAAGAGTATTTCAATGGAGTTTAGGGGGTCTTCTATGTAGAGTATCATGTCATCTGCAATCAATGATAACTTAACTTCTTCTTTTCCTATCTTTACCCCTTTTATTTCTCTTTCTTGCCTAATTGCTCTGGCTAGTACTTCCAGTACTATATTAAATAGGAGTGGTGATAAAGGACATCCTTGTCTTGTGCCTGATTTTAAAGTAAAGGCTTTCAATTTTTGGCCATTTAGAATGATGCTGGCTGTTGGTTTGTCATAAATGGCCTTTATTATATTGAGGTAAAGACCATCTATTCCAATTTTCTGTAGAGTTTTTATCATGAATAAATGTTGGACCTTATCGAAGGCTTTTTCTGCATCTATAGAAATGATCATGTGATTCTTATTTTTGGCTTTATTGATATGGTGGATTACATTTATTGATTTGCGTATGTTGAACCATCCTTGCATTCCTGGGATGAATCCCACTTGGTCATGGTGTATAATCTTCTTGATGATTTGCTGGATCCTATTTGCCAATATTTTATTGAGGATTTTTGCATCTGTGTTCATTAGGGAGATCGGTCTATAGTTCTCTTTTTTAGTTGGGTCTTTCTCAGGTTTTGGTACTAGAGTGATATTTGCTTCCAGGAACGACTTAGGAAGGATTGCTTCCCTTTCAATTTCATTGAACAGTTTGAGGAGTGTCGGCATTAGGTCTTCTTTGTATTTCTTGTAGAATTCTGCAGTGAATCCATCTGGGCCTGGGCTCTTCTTGGTGGGTAAGGACTTAATTACATTTTCAATTTCAGTAACAGAGATTGGGTTATTCAACAGTTTTACATCCTCTTGATCTAGCTTTGGCACTTCATATGCTTCTAAGAATCTGTCTATTTCTTCTGTGTTATCAAACTTTTGAGAGTAGAGGTTTTCGAAGTAGGTGTTGATGATCTTCTGTATTTCTATTGGGTCTGTAGTGATTTCTCCTTTTTCATTTCTTATTGCATGAATTTGAGCTTTTTCTTCCCTTTTTAAAATAAGGTTGTCTAGGGGCTTATCGATTTTATTTATTCTTTCAAAGAACCAACTCTTTGATTTGTTGATTCTTTGGATTGTTTTCTTAGTCTCTATTGCATTGATTTCTGCTCTGATTTTTATAATTTCCTCTCTTCTTTTGGCTTTGGGCTTGACTTGCTGTTCTTTTTCTAGCTGTTTGAGGTGTAGCATCAAGTTATTTATTTGTATTCGTTCTGTTTTCCTGATGTGGGAACTCAGTGCAATAAATTTTCCTCTCAGGACGGCTTTCATTGCATCCCACAGGTTCCGGTAAGTTGTATCTGTATTTTCATTTTCTTTTAGGTATTGTTTGATTTCTTCTTTAATTTCCTCTGTGACCCACTGATTACTCAAGAGTGTGTTATTCAGTTTCCATGTGTTTGTGGGATTTTTGCAGTATCTTTTATCATTAATTTCTAATTTCAGAGCGCTATGATCCGATAATATGCAAGGGATGATTTCAGCTTTTTTGCATTTGCTTAAATATGTTTTGTGAGCTAATATATGGTCTATTTTAGAAAATGATCCATGTACTGCTGAGAAGAATGTGTATTCTGATGTTGTTGGGTGGAACATCCTGTATATGTCTATCAAACCCATTTGTTCACAGGTATGATTCAGTTCTGTTATTTCTTTGCTCATTTTCTGTCTGGTCGATCTGTCCCTTGGTGTCAATGGCATATTAAGGTCTCCTGTTACAATTGTGTTACTGATAATTTGAGTTTTCATTTCTGTTAATAATTGTTTTATATAACTGGGTGCTCTGGAGCTTGGTGCGTATATATTTAAGATAGTTTTCTCTTCCTCTTGGAGTTTTCCCCTTGCGAGTATGTAGTGACCTTCTTTATCCTTTATGGTTATTGTTGGTTTAAAGTTCACGTTGTCTGCAAACAGAATGGCTACTCCTGCCTTTTTTTGGATTCCTGCTGCATGAAGAATTGTTTTCCATCCTTTGACTTTCAGTCTGTGAGTATCCTTCTGGGTTAGATGGGTTTCCTGTAAACAGCATATGGTTGGATTTTGTTTCTTGATCCATTCTGCTAGTCTGTTTCTTTTGGTTGGTGCATTGAGACCATTTATATTAATGGTTATTACTGTTAAATGTTGGTTAATTGTAGGAATGTTATCTCTCTGCTGTTGCATCTTTATCTTTCTGTTCTGTGTAATTATTTGTTTTGCTTAGTGGTTTTTTCCTTTGTGTATCTAAACTGTCTTTCAATATTTTTTGCAGGGTTGGTTTGGTGTTCATGAAGTTCTTCAGCTGTTCTTTGCCATGGAAGTATCATATTTCACCATCTATTTTAAATGATAGTTTTGCAGGATATATCAGTCTTGTTTGGAAATCATTTTGCTTTAGGATCTGGAATACTTCACTCCATGCCCTTCTTGACTTTATCGTTTGTGATGAGAAGTCTGCTGTGATTCTGATAGGTTTTCCTTTATAAGTGATGTGTCTTTTCTCTCTGACAGCTTTTAATATTCTATTCTTGTGTTGGATTTCTGGAATGGTGATTATTATATGTCTGGGTGTAGTTTTATTTTGGTTATGACTATTTGGAGTTCTATATGCTTCACTGATCCTGATGTCAGTTTCTGATCTCATGCTTGGGAAATTTTCAGCTATTACTTCTGTAAATATCCTCTTGATATCCTTTATGTTGTTTCCTTTTTCATTAATCCCTATCATTGTTATATTTTTCTTCTTTGCATCGTCTTGCAGTTGTTGAATTGTTGTTTCCTGATTCCATGTTATTTTTAAAAGATCTTTCCTTTCCTATTCACTAGCTGCAATCCTGTCTTCAAGGTCTGAAATTCTATCTTCACTTTCATTAAGGTGGTTTTTACAACTTTCAGTAGAGTTTTTATTTCCTGTATATCTCTGTGCATCTGCATTATGTATTCAGTTTGTTTCTTATATTGCTCGTCTAGGGATTCTATCTTTTTGTTTAGTTCCTCCAATTTTTTATCTGTGTTTTCTTCAGATATATTCAGAATCTCTTTCATTTCTTTTATCAATTCTTCTTTTACCTGGGAGATTATTTCGAGTTTCAATTTCTTTAAAGGTTCCTGGAATTGCTTGTCAATTTCAGTAGCTATTGTGTCTGATATATGAGGTGGATGGGATATATTTTCTTCTATATACATTGCTCCTAGGGTTTCTTGAGATGGGCTGGAGGTTTGAGGTTTAATTTGGTCTTTGGTTTTGTCATTTTCCTATATTTCTGTGTTTCAAGTGTTATTTGAAAGCTTCCTCAGGATCTGTTGAAAATCCCCTTCTATGTTTGCAGCTACTGAGACTCTGGCACCAAGCTACCCCAAGCCATTGGGCCTGCAGAACCAATGGCCCTCATCTGCCTGCTCAGAACTCCGCAGTTCCAGACAAGCTGGGCCTTAGGGACACTGTGTGTCCACCTGCCCCTTGGAAGCTCCACAGCTCTTCAATCGCAGCTGGGTTAGGGAACTCACCACAGGCTGTGGTGCCTCAGGAACCTGTGTTCCCTCCCTGCTTGCAGAGATATCCACAGTCTTCCAGACACACGGAGAGGCCGATGCAGGCACCCCAGATCCGCCCAGCTCCTCCTCTGCACACCGATGGTTAGGCGTGGCAGCGAAGCAGGCTGGTCTCCGGGGATAGTGTGGGCCTGCCCACCCATTGGGAGCTTAGCAGTTCTCCAAGTGCAACCGGCATGGGGAGGCGGCTGTAGAGGCCTCCAACCCACCTCTCCCCTTCACTGCACCTGGAAGCCTGGAGGGACCCAAATAGTCTGGGCCGAGATATCCACAGTCCTCCAGACACACGGAGAGGCCGATGCATGCACCCCAGATTCGCCCAGCTCCTCCTCTCCAGAAAACAGCTATTATCAAGAACCTAATAAAAATAAATGCTGGTAAGAATGTGGAGAAAAGGGAATACTTCCTCATTGTTGGTGGCAATGTGATTTAGTACAACCATTGTGGAAGTTGATGTAGACATTCCTCAAAATTCTAAAAATAAAAATTACTTTTGACCCAGTTACCTCCTTTTTAGCTGCATTCTCAAGGGTTAAATTCATTGCATTACAGGGCTATGTGCATAGTCATGTTTATAGCAGTAGAATTTATAACAGCTAGGTCTGATAAATAGTGTATGTATCTATTGAGAGCCAAATGGATCAGGGAAATATAGTGTTTACACAAGTGGAGTATTACTTTGCCATAAAGAATAATGGAGGTGAGGCATTCATAGACATGAGTGAAATTTGAGAACATAATATTAAGTGAAATTAATAATATTAAGTGAAACACAGATTTAAATATCACTTCTTTATATGAAATATTCATAAAGTATATATATATACAAATAAAGATCAAAATAGAAGACAGATAAATAGAAAGTAATGAGAAGTTAAATACTTTCAAAGTTAATTATTTCATTTTTCAGAAATACATATGATAGTTTGTTACATTTATGCTAATGGTTTCTTGTAGTCATTGACTAGAAAGCTTTGTGCTATTATTTATTTCTTCTTTGTAAATCTTCTTGATTGATGTCTTGTCTCCCACTTTTAAGAAAATGATGCATGGTGTACTATGTTATTATCCTATAATATGTTTAGGAAATTTAGCTTTTTTCATAAAATAGAAGAAGATAAATATATGCAAATAAAATGTGAAGTAACGTGGTATAATAAGGCTGAAATTCTGCAATGTGATTGATTTTTGTATATTGCCATGTATTCCACTTTCATTGGAAACATTCTCCTCTAACTTGAGTAAAGCATCCTTCTATCACTTTGGGTGCCCTGTGCTCACTATTGTGTCTTCTATGAGTGATGTGATGGTACCCTTACCCCATCAGTGCTCCTCAGCCAGGTTTACATAGCCAACTGCTACCTCTGGGGCCGTGAGTACTAGCAGTCATCACAGGACCATCCCTGGGTGGGCCCAAGTCCAGGCTCAGGCTTTAAGTTCTCACATTGAAAAACACTGGTCCGGGAGATGGTACATATGCTCCTGTGAATGACAGCAAATTCCTTTTCATTCTCATGAGTTTTTCTTCTCACCATCATGGGTAGGCCTCATGTCCTGAAAGGCTTGCCTGCATCCATGGATGTGACGACACTGATGCAATCTCCTAATGTATCTAACTGTGTTTATTGAATTTTTACATTTTAAGCTGCTCTAGCCTTCCTAACCCAACCCAAGCTGGTCCAAACAAACAATCAATCCTAGCGTGGTGATTATGTGTTGTCTTTTATATATGCACTAAGTCTCTGTTTTAAGAATATTCACGTGGAGAACTTTCACAGGTGTGCTGTGTAAGACATCCTTTGTCATATTACAAAGAATCCGATTTACAAACATTCCCCAAGAACACAACTCATTAGTAAGTTGAGACTTAGCTGGATCTCTGAACCTTTAAATTTTTTCTTGTGCATCACTGCTGTTTGAACTAAGGGAACAGCACTGAGCTACATTCCCAGGACTTTTATTTTATTCTGGAACAGCATCCCCAGGTAGCCTAGACTGGCATCAGACTTGTGATCCTCATGCCTCTGCTTCCCAATTTGCTGCAGTTTGATTTCTTTTTAGGAAGTCACACATAAGTCAATGGGATTTGAGGCTCCTGTGATCCACCCCAGTTTAGTGGATTCCTTGTTGAGGTTTGGCATGAGAGTTTTTCTGGCTGGATGGAATGTGTAGGATTGTGTTTTCTCTTTCTGTACCTGAGAGAAGAATTTTTAAGCCTAGAGTTTATGTCTGTGTCATAAGTGTGCAATGAGTGAGAAATTTCCAGTGAAGCTTTCTGAACTAGAACTTTCACTGAGAAATTCTAAAAATACAGTCAAAGGGTTTAATGTATCTGTAAGGATTCAGATTTTCTGTTTATATTTACCTCCACATAGCACATTGTGGACTTGGAGATCCTGCACATCCTCTAATATGTTGGAAAAATTGTTCATAATTTTGAACTACTATTTTTTTTTAAAGAGTATCTCTCACACTGTCTGCTCTTTCTTCATGTTGAAATCTGTTCCAGCTCTCCCCAGGAAGATCTAATCTATTACTTTTATCCCCACTTAGATCAATTTTACATTTTTTTAACTAAAAGTTTTGTAGCTAGCTGAGTGAGACTGAACCCTGACACAGTGGGCCTGGAAACATCGCACAGTTACAAAAGTTTTGTATCCATCCAGTTTTAGGGAGTGTCATCTGCTACAGTCATAGGTGGTTCTTAATTCTCTCCTGTCTGTGTGGCATCACGCTGTCATTAACATTATCATTCATCTCAGACATCCTCTCCCATTATTTCATTTCTCATTCACTCAGGGATTATTAAAGAATCTCTCATTTCATTTCCAACACAGAGAGATGTGAGGTATCTCAGACTGTAGGGTCAGGTGAGCCTAAGGTCCCAGAATCTCTGGAGGTCTCTGTCCCTGGCTGAGGCATCACTTAGTGTCTTTTGGGATGGATCCTGCACCAGTGGGTATTAGGGTAGCATACAGAGTGGACACCTCTTGGAGGGCCCCGTCCTGGATGGAAGGAGGTGTAGCTGTCCCCTGTCTGAGCATCAAGTTGCTCAGCTCGGCATAGTTCACATACTGGGTACCCTCACGGGCAGCAGCCTATAGGGGAAAGAAAGGGGAATGTTTTAATTGACCCTGGGGAAGACTGGAGCTGGGGGAGTACAGGATTCCTCTCAGCATCCATCTGCCTGGCTTCCCTTACATTTCTGTCCTTGGTGTCTAGGAGCTGCCCTGACAGGCTCAAAGGAAGGGAGGTATCTCTCTTCCCTGATACTATGTGCTTCCCTTGAGCATGCATCACTCCCTGGGGGTCCTCATCAGGTGGGCTCTGCAGCAGGGAGACATGGATAGAGACAGTGTGTCCTTGGTTGCACACTGGTCTCCTCCAACCTGTGTTTCACTCTGTGGCCAGAGGGATGCTTAAGAAATTAAACCAGGCTCTGTTCCTTCCTCATAGATCTTCAGGGGTTTCCCAAGGCCTGGAGAGTCTGCCATCTTCCTCCCTACAGAGCTGCCCTCACATCCTGACACTTGGACCCTGCCACCTTGCTGAAGGAGCCTGTCTCTACTTCAGGATCTTTGCCCTTGTCGTGTGCTCTGTCTGCAGAGCTGGTGCATTAGAGGTCCATGTGGCCCTCTCCATGCAGGCTTCTGCTTAGCGCTCAGCATACTAGTGTCCTCCCTGTGAGTCTCTGTGGCCACCCTGCCACTCCACCCCTTTCTCTGCTTTATTTCCATTCACAGCTCTGTGCTCTCCTGACACTGGTCTCCCACCTTGAGTGAGGTGGGGCTCGTTCAGAGTGAGAGGGGCTGTGCTCACTGCTGTATCTGAAGCCCCCATGGAGCCAGGTCAGAAGGGAGCCTCTTGTGTGGCTGTATGAGTGAGGGAGGGTATGGGGCGGCTTATTCACTCAGGGTCCTTCTGAGACCAAGGAGCAGGGAATAGCCAGATAGAGACTGAGGGAGGGTACCTTGATGTGACAGGAAACCAGCAGAAAGTGGGTCACAGCAGGTGGAAGCCACAGCTTCCAGAATGGAAGGATTAGCTGTGAGGTCCCTGAGAGCTGAGTGGTGGAGGACAGAGCAGTGTCCCTGTACCAAATAGGGTGACAGCAAGTCCCTGTGCCCTGGATAGGATGGGGTCTCACCTGGGCTTCTAGTTCCACCCCATTCTCAGGCTCTGTGTCCTTCACGGTAGCATCTGCAGGGACAGAAGTGGGGTCACCTTGGGGCCAGAACCCTGGAGTCTCTCATACCCCAGGCTCTGTCCTGTCCAGTTGGGGACACAGAGACAGGCAGCTGTGCGATGTCTCCAGGCGCACTGTGTCAGGGTTCAGTCTGACTCAGCCCCGAGCCCCAGTCTCCCCTGCCTCTGTGATGCTGAAACCTCAGGGCATCTCCTTCCCTGCACCCCTCCTCCTCTCACAGAGGCTTTTTCCTGCATTGGTGCACCTGGCCTGGAGGTGGGGAGAAAAAGGGTGTCAGGTGGCTGTCTGGGTCCTCGGGCAGGGATGACCTTTTCTGCTGGCCTCTGTACCAGGGCACTGACCCTGTGGCCCCTGCAGGATCTGGGAAGTTAGCCTCTTTCTGGGCTGGGAGATGGACAGAGTCTGGGCCAGGAGGTCAGAACCACCCAGTACACAGGCCACAGAGGGCAGGAAGGAAGCCTTGGACCCCATGGACCAGGGAGCCGATTCGGCCTGAGGTGGAGAAACTCAGACCACACCAGAGTCTATCACAGTAATGGGCCCCTCTGTTCTCCACTGGATTCTCTGACTTTGTGTTCTACACAGAAGATACTAAGCTCGCCTTCTTCCATCATTGGTGTCCTGGGCCAGCCTAGCTCAGACCATGGGGAAACACAGCCTCCCAAGACCCAGGTCAGCCCCTCCCCACTCACCTGCCTTCCTGCTTTTGCCCTGATGCCAGTGTCGGAGGACAAGGAGGAAGAGGAGGAGCAGCAGCAGCAGGACAAAGGCCACCGAGACCCCGATCAGAACCTTCAGGTGCCTTCCCGGTCCTTGGGGAGGAAGTCAATCAGGGAAAAGCAGAGGTGACTTTGGAAACACAGCATGGTGCCCCTTGGTGGGGGTTTTTCTGTGTGCTATGCCCATGTGGGGTTGTTGGGCTCCTCACCTCCAACCCTCAAAGCTGAGGGATGTGTGATTGCCACACACCTGGGCAGTGGGCTGGGAAGGACGCTGAGGCTGAGAGAGGCCATCAGCTCCCTGGTCTTCCAGTAGGAAGAGGTGGTCCTGGGGTTTGGACGAGGGGATCTGACTTCCACCTTGTGAACCAAGCCTCCTGTGATGGGGAGGTTGATCCTGAAACCCTGCCATGACCATGTACCCCCTTCTGCATGCTGTCACTGTCACTGCACAGAGGGACAGGCCCTGGAAACTTGGTCTCTTCACACTGAGGGTTGTGTTTTTGATCCTCATTGTTTTGGATGTCATGGGCTGGGCTCCCTGCTCCACACTTCATGAGATGCTCCTCAGTGAGGCTGGAGCCAGAACCTACACCCTTAACCTATGCTCATGCTGCCATGCAAACTCTGAGCTCTGGGGACCTGGTGTCTTTGTTTACATATCTATCTGATCCTCTGGCTCCTGGACACCAGCAGAGCCAGGGCTGGAACCAGGACTGAGATGGGATGAGAGTCTCCAGGGAGCCTGGACCCTGGAGCTGGGACAGAGCCTGGGACTCCTGCTGTGGAACTGGGCACTGAGGGTGGAGAGGGCAAAGGATTTTGGGAATGGGCACGGGTAGGGTGGAGGCGGGCTTCACATGGAGGAGGCTGTATCAGCTCACTCTCTTTCATCTCCCCTGTGTCCTCATTACAACCCTCCCTCTGCCAACCCAGTGTCTGCCAGCCCAGTGATGTGGTACTGTGGCCTTGCTTGAGAGGACCCAGCAGCATTCCTGCTCCCTGAGGGGTGCTTCCCAATCTGGCTGACCTGTCATAGGATGCTGAGCTCTGATCCCAGTCAGAGCTGTCCTTGGAGCAGTGCCAAAAGGACCCTGTACCTAGACTCATGGAGTCCAGGGTGACTCATCTGAGACCATGAGGTCCAAGGGCTCACTGGGCTGTGACAACAGGTATGGAGCTGAGTCCTCAGAGCCATAGCACCTATAGGTCCCCCAGAGGGCTGAACTCGCAGCTCCTATGGAATCTGCCTGGGACTGCTGAGCTCAGGACTCGTGATCTTAGATGCAGAGGGGGATTGGCTGCCCCCTCATTGGACAGATGAAAGTGTCCTTCAGAATCCATGACTAGCAAAGCAGGGTCAAATGTTCTCCTGAGGACACCGTGGGTCCTGGACTCATTGAGAGGGAGGGTGTGGCAGGGAGCTGTCCTAGAGAGAAGAAGGTGGTGAGGGGCTGCTCCAGCTTGTTCTGAGTTGAGGCCTCAGCAGGACACTCACTCTCTGTCTGTCTCAGTTTCCTCTGACTCTGCCCCTCCTGTCCTCCCTTGTCTCTCTCCCTCCCTGACACTCCATCCTCAAACTGGCCACCACCTCTGTTCTTCCCCAGAAGGGTCTATGCAGCATCTGGGTGCTTGACTGAGCCTTGGATCCCTCACCTGTGACCAGGGTGTCCAGGGGGTCACTGGGAGCTGACCACTCGAGGAGAGGCTGTGTCCACCATAGCATCTGTAATGGCCCCCTTGGGAGCTGTTCTCAGCAGCCAGGGGGGAGTTGGCATGGGGGAGCCCAGTTTGGGGCTAATGGCTAAGTGTGAGGGAGGTCACTGCCCCCTCCTTGGACAGAGTGAATCTGTCACAGCTGATATCAGAGCAACACCAGAGGGTCAGATTGTGTCCAGGGGTCAGGAAAGAACTAATTTCGGTCAGGAGGAAGGGCTTCCCACACAGCCCTGCAGGGAGGAGTAGCTGGGCTGAGGAGCTGGTTCCTGCCACACTCTTGCCCTCATGTCCTGCCCTGTGGATTACCCTGTCTGTCACACTCAGGTTCTCTGGTTCTGAAGCTGATCTGGGTCACTGCCAGTTCAGAGCCCATTGAATTCAGGCTCTGTCAATGCATCTGGTGACTCACAAGCTGTTGCATTAGGCAGGACTTTCTTACCTGAGATTAGGAGCTCCAAGGAGTCACTGGGCTCTGACCATGCCTGGGCTTTGCTCCTGTAATAGCCGTAGCAGGTGAATGTCCAATTATGACCAGGGGTTACAGGGCCCACAGAGAACAGGGCCTGGACCTGCCCATGGGGATGATGCTGTGAGTCCAGGACCAAGGAGAGCTCATGTTCTCCATCCTTAGTCAAAATGAACCTGTCAAATTGCTTCTGTGAGCCACACTGGAGGGTGACGTTCCCTCCTGTGGTCACCACATGGCTGGGCAGTGCTGAGAGGCTGGGCTTGCTATATACTCCTAGGAGAGAAGGAAGCAGCATGTGAAATGGACTCAACTCTCTACATTGTCCCCAGAGCTTGGCTGTGAGAGGGGAAAACTCCCTGAGAGTCTACCCATACCTGAGGGCCGAGTGTGGGCCTGGGACCCTGAGTGTCCTCTCACCTGTCACCACCAGCTCCAGGGCATCACTAGACTGTGACCAGGTACCATTTCTCCTATAGTAACAGCAATACTGCCCTGCATTGTTTATTGTCATGGATGAGATGGAGAATTTGGCCTTCTTTATGGGCTTGACTGAGATCTGTGTGTCCCAGGGCACTCGGCTTCCCTCTTTATCCAGATGGTACTCCTGAGCCTCCAAGGTCCCCTCACACCAGAGGGTCACAGTCTCCCCTTGGTGGATCACAGAGCGTGGTTCTGCCCACAAGGTGGGCTTGGGGAGGGTCCCTGTAGGAATCAGGGAAGACAGTGTCAGGTTGGTTCTGCACAGTGCACAGTGAGGGTCCCACCAGAGGTCATTTATTCTGACCCATAGAGGAAAGGAACCGTGAAGAGCCATTGAAGTTTTTTTTCCTGCCCCCCATCTGACACTCAGTTTCTCTGTCTCCCTGGATCACTCTGTCTTGGGTCTCACAGCCCCCCTCCCATGCTGTCACTGAGCTCAGGGTCCTTGGCTCTTCTCGTCTCCATAGCCATTCTTGGAGATGGGTCAGGTCCTTAGTCATTCAAAGGAAAGGCTCTGTCTCCCTCACCTGAAACAAGGAGCTCGAGGGGGTCACTGGGCTCTGACCACACATGGGATTTGTTCCAATAGCAGCCATAGCATCTGAACCTCCACCTGTGTTTGGGGGTCACAGGGCCCACAGGGAACAGGGAACTCGTGCTCAAGTTCCAGGAGAGCTTGTCTCTTTCCTTAGTCAGAATGAACCTGTCAAATCCCAGATGTGAGCCACACTTCAGGGTCAAATTCTGTCCTGAGGTCACCACAGGGCTGGGCAGGGCTGAGAGGCTGGGTTTGCTGTAGACTCCTAAGAGAGAAGGAGGCAGCCTGTGAAATGGACTCACCCCTGCCACATTGTCCCCATCGTTGGGCTGTCAAAGGGGGACACCTCTGAAAGCAGACCCCTTCCTGAGAGAAGAACCTGGGACCGGGACCCTGAGTGTCCTCTCACCTGTCACCACTAATTCAAGGGCATCACTGTGCTGTGAGTACCCCGATAGTGTTCGGTAGTAGCAGCGATATTGTCCTGCATCATTCTCTGTCATGGATGGGATGGGGAAATTGACTATATTCTTGAGTTCTGGTGATGTTTGATTTGTCCAGGACTCTTGGCTTCCATTTTTGTACAGACCATATTCCTGGGCCCCCAGAGTCCACTGACACCAGAGGGTCACAGGTTTCCCCTGTGGTATCACAGATGCTGGCTCAGCCTGGAGACAGGGTTTGGTGAAGGTCTCTGTAAGGAAATCACAGCTGGTCCCAGGCCTTTGTCTTCCATGAGATCTCATCTTTTAGCCCCAGAACCCTCCAGACATCCCAGAACCAGCCCACAGCTGCTGTGCTCCATCCCACTGTCCAGGGGTAGCCCTTTTTCCCCAGGATGTGGAGGAGGGACCTGGGACATCTGCGGACACACTCACCTGACTGCCCTGGGGTCCTGGGGCCCAGACTCAGCCCTGGAAAAGAGGTCCCTGTGAGAGGTTTGCCCTGGAGCCTGAGCAGATCCTCTGCTCCCTGGAGCCTCCTGAGCTGTGGGTCTCTGAGGGACCAGATCCTGACCATAGGGACAGGTCTCTCCAGACCTGGTGTCCCCTCCCATCTTCCCCTCTCACCCAGGCTGAACAGGGCTGTGAGGGTGGGGATCATGGTTTCTCCAACCGCTGATCACAGCTGTGTTCAGAAATGTGACTGCACTGTTCGGCAGGACCCATGGAGAAATGCAGTGTGGGAAGTTTGAAGCTTGGTTCTGCTATCATGTGTTTGTCACAGCACCACCCCACATGAACGGGAACTGCCCTCCCCCTCAGCCATCTGTTGTGTTGCCAGGTCTGTGTCTGGGGCAGGCGGGCATTGATGTGTGACTTTCTTTTTCTTTTGAATCTTCCTGCTTTTTATTCATCTCACTGAGGACCAGAACACACAAGCAAATAGACTTCATGTCTTCCTCATCTGATCCCTTCTAGGGGACACTACCAAAGGCTGGTTCTTTCTCTCAGACCCTCCCAGATGTTTCCTCCCTTCCTCAGCCTATCTATCTGCACAGCATGGGGCTCCTCACTGTGGTCATCGTCTCCTAGTCCTGGAAATGCTCAGGGGAAGATGCAGATTCCTATTACAAGTGGAGAGCGAAGATGAACTGAGCCATACGTGTGCAGCTCACTGGCATTGTTTCCTGGGAAGCATGGATGGAGGAGAGACGCAGGGGAATAGGGCAGCACTGCTGACTCACTTCCTGGTCCCCAGTGTGGATTTCCTGTGCTAAACCTTCCCTTTATGGGCTTCCCTATTTCCTTAGCAATTAAGTCTGCCCACTTTTCTTTTGAAAAAATTCTCTGAGCCATTCATGCATATGCTGGACCCTGTATAGAGTGCACCTGAGTTTGGTGCTGGCTGATTTCAGTTTACTGCTTGTTTATTGTTCTCTATCTTTCCCTGCACTTAGCATTTCTCTCTGAGCCTCAGCTTCCTCATTGCCAGCCAGTAGCCCTTCACACCACTGCATGAGATACTGGGTCAGTGGTTCCTGAATATTTTGAGACTCGGCGATGTCTAATTTTCAGGACAGTGAAAGCATGGGTTTGGGAATGGGAGGTCATGTGAGATGGTTTTTGTGCCAATCACGGGTCCCTATGTACTCTGATCACTTGGAAGTGGTCCATGTAATACACCTGCAGCTTCCAGGTCATTATGATCATGAAAGTAAAGGTAGGAACGAAGGTTCTCTAAGGAACATGGATACAAAGAACAAAGCAGGGAGTCCACTGCAGTCTCAGATTTTTAGAGTCATTAAGAAGCAGGTTTCCTCCTCTCTGTGGTTGTGGAAGTGGAAGTGCGACAGGGGATTGGGGCTGGCAAACCCACTGTGCATAGGGCATGACCTGTCAAATACAGCTAGGTCACAGCTGCAGAATATCTTCTGAGCCCTGCACCTGGAACCACTCAGAGTGCTGTCTTCAATCTTCCCCTGAGAACTCAAGGAGGTTTTTGATAGGATGACGCAGAGCTGACGTCAGCCTGAGGGGCGGAAGGTACAAAAGATGGCTGCCAATGTGCTCCTGCCCACTGTGGTCTTTCACCTTTGTCTATTCCCCCCCTACAGAGTACGCTGCTTTTTCTATTCACAGTTTGCCCAGACCTGCTCTACAAAGCATGTTCCTTTTCCTGCCTTCTGTAAGTGTAAAACGTCACTACATTTTTGTGATTGTTTTGCCCAATTCTTTATTTCGGTTGACAAGAACCTAGAATGAATCTCTAGAAAGGGTTCTCAGAACCCCAGAGAGGAGTCACTGAAGCTCAGGGCTGCAGGTAAGGGTTGAAAGCTGTGCTCCTCCTTCCCCATTTTTAGAGATGGACACTGAGATCACAGTTCCTGCATAGTGACCATGGTCAGTACTGAGCTACCTTCCATGAAGGCTCAGTACTCCAGTATTCTCTCACACACAGGCCTCCCATTAGAATGCATGTGAGGCTTGCATTGCACCCATCCCTGCAGGCACAACCTGGGCAGGGCCATGGGAGATGCATGGAGACTGAAGGCAGGAGTAGCTGCAGCTTCCCCTGTCAGGCCTGATTCCTGGGACAGCCCTGGAGAAACCCATGGCAGATCGGGTCAGGAGGAGAGACACCCAGCAAGATGGACAATGTTTAGGGTGTTGAAGAAAAATGGGAAACAAGGAAAAAGTGAGTTCGGCAGATAGTATGGCAACAGAATATAGTATGCCTAATTAAGATAATTAAAAATTAATTCTGGTGAGTGTAGGTTTCCTTTGCCTGTTTTAGCTCCTTGAGATACACAGATTGTTTGACATTTTTCATCTTTTAAAATGTAAATATTCATCACTAAACTGTTATCTTGCTACATCTTTGGTTTCTGCTGTAAGTTTTAATTTGATTTTAGTATTATTTCTGTGGACTGATGACTGGGGAGCATACATGCTAGGCAAGTGCTCCACTAATGCTTTTTAAAACTTGATTTTTCAGAAATAGTTTCTCTAAGTTGCATACACTGGCCTTGAACTGGTCAGCCTGCTACCTCAGCTTCCCAAGTAGCTGGGATAACAGGCATGCACCACAGGCTCCAATTCTTTTTTTCTCCTTTTCCTCTTCTCCTTTTCCTCATTTTAAATCCCTGTATTCTAGAGGATAGTTCAGCTCTGATATTTCTTTGTTTTTCTGTTTTCCAAACCCTTTTTATTTCAAAGAGAAAAAGTAAAAGAAAGAGAAAAAACCCAACTGAAGCAAAATTTCAAAACAAAGTCAATCAGGGGACAACAGTGTTACAAACATTGTCATCCCCACAATAATAGGCATTGCAGTCGTTTCCAAGATCTGGTTATTACAAATTGTTTTGCTGTAAACGTGGGTCCACATATATCACTGTGGTGTTTTCAGTTCTTCTGGGAAAATAACCACAAGGGGAGTCACTGGGTTGAATGGGATGTCCAATTCTAGTTTTCTGGACTCTCCACACTGATTTTTAGTGGTTGCACCAGTCTACACTCCCACAAACAGTGGAGAAGTGTTCCTTTTTCCCCATAGTCCTACCTAACAATTGCATTGGTTGATTTTTTGATGGCAGCCATTCTTCCTGGAGTTAGATGGAGTCTCAATATTGTTTTAATTTGCAATTCTTGAATAGCCAATGATGTTGAACATTTCTTCATGTATTTATTTGCCATTGGTATTTCTTCATTTGAGAAGTGTGAGTTCACTCAGATACCCATTTTTGGATTAGGCGTTTGAATTTGGGGGGCCTAATGTTTTTCAGTTTTTTATGTGTTCTAGATATAGTCCTTTGTCTAAGGGACAGATAGCTAAAATTTTTTTCCATTCTGTGAATTTCCTTTTCACTCCTTTGGTTTTTAATAAGATGAGATCCCAGTTGTTGATTCTTTAAAGTGCTTCCCATGCAGTTTGCACTTTCTTCATGAACTTTTTGCCTACCCCTATGTCTTCAAGATTTCTATCTACTTTGTTTCCAGTAGATTTAGTGTTTCTCTTTTAATATTTATTTAACTAAATAATTTTTTAATTAATAAAGGAGAGATTGAGATAAAAGAGAACATAACAACATAACCATGCAGGTCAAAGCATGACAGTTTCAGCAAATTAGTGCTTCACCACCAAATAACCCTACTTAATAGTGGTTACCATAGTGTCTTTTTCCTTGAAATATTTGAATATAATTTCATATACTATAGCATCAAACATATCAAGTCAGTCTGAAACCATTCCAGTGGATGAAATCATTGTAGGGTATTTAGAACCAGCTAACAGAAAACGAACAATGGTTTCTATATTATCTTTTTGCCTATAAGGATTTTTGTTTATATTATTACATATAATAAAATCCAGCAAGACACATCATGATAAAACCAATGGAGACAGAAAAGCCATAGTTTGGTGGGGCTTCAAAACAAGACGATAGTAAATCAGCACTAGCTATTACGATGACTTGTTTTCTTCAAAATAGCTGTTCATTTCATCACAGGCAATAATATCAAGCAGCCCAGAATAAAGCCATTCCAATTAATAAGTGAAAACTTTATAAGGCTTCAAGGCCACATAATGGGGAATCATGATTACCACATATTTTTATATATTTGAATCATTACTTACGTTAGGGAAACTATTCAGTATTCACACATGCAAGATTGATTTATTTCACTTATGAGTATGGTTTCAAGCTGTGCCCATTTATTGATAAATATCTCAATGTGATCCTTCTTTGTAGCTGAGTAGTACTCCCTTGTATAGAAATACCATAACTTTTTTATCTATTCCTCAGTTGATGGACACTTGTGTTGTTTTCAAGATCTGGTGATTACAAATTGTGCTGCTATAAACATGGATGCACATATATCACTGTGGTATGATGCTTTCAGGTCTTCTGAGAATATGCCTAGAAGTGGAATAGCTGGAACAAATGGGACTTCCAATCCCAGCTTTTTGAGAAATCTCCAGACTGACCTCCACAAGGGTTGTACCAGTCTGCACTCCCACCAACAGTGTAGGAGAATTGCTTTTCCCCCACAGCCTCTCCAGCATTTGTTGTTGGTTTTTTTTGATCCTAGCCATTTCTTTCAGGAGTGAGATGGAATCTCAGTGTGGTTTTAATTTGCATTTCTCTAATGATCAATGATGATGAAAATTTTTTCATGCATTTATTTGCCACTTGTATTTCTTCATCTGAGAAGTGGGTATTCATCTCAGATGCCCATTTTTGGATTGGATCTTTGAATTTTGGGCATCTGAGTTTTTAAAATTCTTTATATATTTTAGACAAAAGTCCCCTGTCTGAGGGGGAGTTCACTAAGATTTTTTCCCACTTTGTGGGTTTTCTTTTCACTATGCTGGAGATTTCTTTTGACATGCAGAAACTTTTTAATAAGAAGTGGTCCCAGTTATTGATTCTGGGAAGTATTTCCCATGCGGTTTGAGTCCTGTTCATGAATTCTCTACCTACTCCTATGTCTTCAAGTTTCTACCCAATTTGTCTTCCAATAGATTTCATGTTTCTGTTTTAATATTCAGATCTTTGATCCATTTAATTTTATTTTAGCACATGGTGATAGGCATGGGTGTAGTTTTGGTTTTCGGCAAGTGGAGAGCCAGTTTTTCCAACACCATTTATTAAAGAGACTCTCATTCTTCCAGTGAACCTGATTGGCTCCTTTATCAAAGATAAGGTGGTTGAGTGTGTTTGTGGTTGTATCTTCTAT